AAAGATTAAGACACCAAACTTATATGAGCAACAGACCTTAAGATGTAGGCAAAACCATTTGGGTTCAGAGCGTCAGCCGTCACTTCCGGTCGTCACAGGAAGTGATCAAAGAAATCGAAATTTCAACTTTTCTTTTTTTAATTAAAAATTGTATCACTTTATTGCATCTTTTTCGCAGATTCGAAAGATGTTGTTCTCACCGGAAACAAAAGCGACAACTTCCGGTTATAAGAGAAAAACTACATAATTTGAGTATTTTACTTTCCCATCAATATTTTTTCTAGAAAAAGTATTTGAAATGAATTTTAAATATGTTATTCAGACTGCAAATGTCTAGAGTAATCGTAAATATCTTTCAAAAATTCACTTCCGGTCGCATGTTTTCCTGTTCTCAAAATGTGAAGTTGTCTGAGCGAGATCTCAAAACCAGGTAAAAGATTAAAACACCAAAGTTTTATGAGTAATAGACCTTGAGGAGTAGGCAAAACCATTTGGGTTAAACGCGTCAGTCGTCCCTTCCGCTTGTCACAGTAAGTGATCAAAGAAATCCAAAAAAAATTTAACTTTTCTTTTTTAAATTATTGCTTGCATCACTTTATTGCATCTCTTTCGCTGTTTTGAAGTATGTTAGATTCCACCGGAAACAAAAACGTCAACTTCCGGTTTTAGGAGATAAACTACTTTACTTTGATATTTAACTTTCTCATAAATATTGATCATCGATAAAGTACTTGAAATGACTTTATGTATGTTGTATATACTGCAAATGTCTAGAGAAAAGTCAAAGATTTTTATAAAATTCACTTCCGGTCTCGTGTTTACCCGTCCTCAAAATTAGAATTTGATCTCACAATATTGCTCGGCAACAGTAAACGACTGAAGTCTAAAACTTTCAGGACTGATGGTCAGTCATCAGTTATATGAATCGTGAGAAAATCTTGTATCGCCGTTACTTCCGGTACTTCCGGTCGTGACCGGAAGTGATGTAAAAAATGAATGGTTAACGTTAGCAAGTTGGATTTTCACGCTGACGACCTGGGTTAAATTTCCAGAGTGTCTGAATTTCTTTTATCTCTTTTTCAGCTTGAATTTTCGTTTTTATTTTCAGAATCAGACGGAAGACCTCTCATTGCTCGCAATGAGTTTCTAGTTATTATTATTATTATTATTTTTCTTCCTGGGTACTTTTTTGTCCGTGAGTGATCTCCGAAACTATACATCCGATTGAGTTGAAACCTTTTTAGGGTTAATAGGAATGTAATGTAGATTTGCGGAACGAAGGTCATTTTGCACGCACGTGCATGCACGTGCGTGCGCGTGCAATGAGTAAAATGACCAATATACTTGATATTGCCATAACTTTTATATCTTTTGATGAAATACTTTGATACTCAGAATATAAGAATATATTAATAGTGTAGACAAGATGACATGGTCAGAATGCACATGCATGCACGTGCGCGCATGCGCATTGATTAAAATAACCAATACAATTGATATAGACTTGTACATTTTTTGATGAATTGCTTTGACACTCAGAATATAAATATATATTAGAAGTGTAGACAAGAAGACTTGATCAGCGCACACATGCATGCACGTGTGTGCACGCGCGTGCGCGTGCAATGAGTAAAATGACAAATATACTTGATATAGCCATAACTTTCAACTCTTTTGATGAAATGATTTGATACTCAGGATATCAGGATATATTAATAGTGTAGACAAGACGACATGGTCAAAATGCACATTCATGCACGTGTGCGCATGCGCAATGATTGAAATAACCTATACGAATGATATAGACTTAACTTGTATATTTTTAGATGAATTGCTTTGAAACTCAGAATATAAGTATATATTAGAAGTGTAGACGAGATGACATGATCAGCGCGCACATGCATGCATTTGCATGCACGTGCGTGCGCGTGCAATGAGTAAAATGACAAATATACTTGATATAGCCATAACTTTCAACTCTTTTGATGAAATGCTTTGATACTCAGGATATCAGGATATATTAATAGTGTAGACAAGACGACATGGTCAAAATGCACATTCATGCACGTGTGCGCATGCGCAATGATTGAAATAACCTATACGAATGATATAGACTTAACTTGTATATTTTTAGATGAATTGCTTTGAAACTCAGAATATAAGTATATATTAGAAGTGTAGACGAGATGACATGATCAGCGCGCACATGCATGCATTTGCATGCACGTGCGTGCGCGTGCAATGAGTAAAATCACCAATATACTTGATATAGCCATAACTTTTACATTTTTTGATGTTATGCTTTGATACTCAGAATATATAGACATATTATAAATGTAGACAAGACGACATTGTCAACATGCATAGGCATGCACGTGCGAGGGCATGCAATGCTAAAATGACCAATATACTTGATATAGCTGTAACTTTTTTACTTTTTGATGAAATGAATTGATACCCGAAATATGTAGATATATTTATAGTGTTGACGAGATGACAC